TGATATCGCAACAACCGACGAGCCATTTCTTGCGATGTTAGAGTTATCCAGGGGACAGAAAAATATGTGGCAGTTATCGTCCTTGTAAATTTTATAAGAATAATTGCTCTTTTTTAGAACACGGGTAATGCAGGTTATATGTAGTTGTGGAAAATTTGGTAATTCTGATAACACAGAGCGTATGTGATTGTTGCTATCAGTAATGATAAAAGTGGTACACACTGCACACAAAATTCAGCTGGGAAGCTATCCTTAAGCAACTTTAAGGTAATTTACAGTAACTAGAATTGAAATACAGATACATTAAAAAAATATTAACTCTTTCATACAAGGATGATATCCTAAACCCAACAAACACTTCTTGCTTAAAAATAGAAACGGCTTATAAAGAAGTCATCCTTACCTACAAATAAGTAAATCGGACTATCTATATTCATCAATTAAAAATCATTGTAATTAATTCGGATGTAAGAGAATGCTCAATAAGGGGACAAATCGGTCCACCGTTGTGGCACCTTTTGGCCAATGTTGAATTGTAAGGATTTGGGACTTTCCTCATATTCAAAATATTTTAATTCTATCCTGGATCAATGTTTGAATTGAGATTCAGATTTTTTTATCTTCTTACTAATCTTTCTAATATATACATCTTGTATTCGAATTTCAATATTCTAAATGAAATATTATAAAATTAATTGCTAAATTATAAATTATTTAAATAATTCCTCTTATTTTTGAAAATTTAAAAATTTCCCAAACCATAATTCATGCAACAGCCATTCAATACAATATAGAAATCGTATGTATTGACATAAGTGTATGGAAATAACGAGCTAATGTTTCCCCAATTCCCCTACAAATGCCTGCTCTTAACAACCGGATTACCACAGCGAATGACAATACTTAATAACAAATATCTTTTTTTTTACTTCCAACAAATTCTCAATGGATTACGTTATACATTGGCATATATTTGCATAAGTATTGTTGCTGCTGTTGCTATTGTTATCGCTGGGTATAAGAAAAAAATAAAGAAATATCTTCGTTATGATGACAATGATTATGTTGATTGTCAAACCAAAGACAATTGTCATACGTAGCTGAGGAGAACAGAAAAAAATAAAATCAAACAACAAAATACACATAAGAATATGACAATATTATTGACTCTTTAAGCTACATAGCAAATGCCAGGCAGCATCAAATGCTAAGCCCCAACCCACCTTCCAATCTAAGGTGGGGGGAAATGAAATCAAAAGGAAAACACAATTCAAAATAATATAAACATTTATCGATGCTGCTCACAGGAGATACATTTCAACTCACGTTCCCACACCACACGCAATGGTTATTAAATTATCATGAAGTGCCTGGCATGTGGAAGGATAAGAAACCCATCGAGGGAATCTGTGACATAAGGAATCTACTTATGCATAAATATCAAATACAAAAAAAAAAAATCTCATGTTTGTATAGACATTGATGGAATTCATGGTTGCGCGATGGCGTATGAATTTGATTCGCTGGTATTAGGGAGGCGCGATAAAATATATTTTTATTGAATTTATGGGGCAAATTGAGTTTTTTTAAGTGTTCTTTTGAACTGCTATTTTGATAACCGATATCAATTTGGAAGTAGCCATCGGTATAAAGGGTAATATGAAAAAACTACAATCAAATTCAGACTGCTGCCATTTCTAAGCCACTCGTACAACAGCTGTAAAAATTATTCCAGTGACAGCTCTTTATATTGTTTACAAGCGTACAAAAACATTTTGGTGAGAATTTTCCAGAAAAATAGTTATTCGTGATGGAATTCAAGCGTGATAGTGTGATTTCTTTATATTTGGCTGGAAAACAACAAGTGGCTATTGTTAGAGCACTCCAGCATTTGAATCTGAATTGATCTCTTGTGTCTCGTACCATCGCTCGTTGCCGCGAAACTGATAGCGTAGCCCGACGTCAAATATTTTGGCTGCAGACTTTACTTCCAAAAAGGTTAGCTGAAAATGTGCACCTTCGGTTGGTCACCATAAACTCAAGCGCCGGCCATGGTGATTGTGTGGGCCGCCATAACAACCGATGGCTCTCTGCTCGAATTAATCGACCGTGGCATCAGAATAAATGCCGAATATTATCGCAAAAATATTCTGGAGGATGTATTAAAGCCTTGGGCTCGCAAACGCTTTGGCCGCAGGCCAAGGACATTACAACAGGACTCAGCACCCTCGCACTCAGCACGCGCCACCCTAGAATGGTTGCAAAATGAGGTTCCTCGTTCATTTCAAGCTCACAATGGCCACCAAAATCTCCGGATACCAATCCGTTGGACTATTGTGTCTGGTTTATTTTTGAAAGCAAGATTGGCACTAAAAAATACCAAATTGTCGATTACCTCAAGCAAGCGCTTGCCGGGAATGGGCCAGCCTGCGATAATTCAATTGGAAAGGACTAGAGATCCTCTCCCGCTAATATACACGGGATGTATAATACTGTGGCTTGGTCCACCCTTTCCTATGAAAGCCTTGTCTAGTGGTATCCGCTAAAATTCAAGGTAAATAACTCGAAGCTCTCAAAGCGAGCGGTATCAATTCTAATCACAGGTGCATTAAAAATCGAATTTGTTATACTGTGCCAAGCTGTACGAAGTGAAGAACAGAATAGGCTGTAGTATACGACAGGGTTATACCAGCTTGCTTTCTAAGAGATAAAGTAAACTTCAACCCTTATGAACGGAGCAACAGGTTTGACATTATTGAGATACTGATTCATAATAGGTTTAAATGGACGGATCAAAGATGGCAGAAGTTATGGAAAGCGGGGTCTTTTGTGAGAAACTGGGAACGGCTAAGAGTTTTAAAAGCAGAAATCTTCGCGATTTTGAAAGCGGTAGAATTGATTAAAACTATGGAGAATGTGGATAGTCAAGCGGCTCTTAAAGCTATTTAATCTTCTACAATCAATTCCGATGCAGTCCTGAGGCGAAGCACGGCTTTGAGAAATCTGCACACTACTCTCAAGCTTTGCTGGGTATCTGGTCATTGTAATATTGAAATAAGAAAGCGGGTGAATTGGCAAGGATGGCCTTGCAGTTAATAGAACTTGAAGTCGCCGAAATGTTAAAGCCCTCTCTTTGCCATTTTGACAGAGCATTAGAACTACACTTCAGCAAAGGAATACTAACAGGCCACTGAAACAACCGATCAAGACGTCCAAATGAAATAACTCTTTCGTCGAATACTGCAGGGGTGAGAATAAAGTGTGTGGGAATGAGGAAGAGAATGAAACAATCGAACACACTTTTTGTCATTGTTCTGCTCTATTAAAAAAAGCTACAAGTTATGGGAGAACATTCGTGTCATAATCTCAGTGTGCATTCATACACAAAGAGACCCGTGTCATCTATAACTTCGCAAAAAGGCTCTGGCATCGGAGTAAAACTACAAATACAGATTTATCTTTCATCTTTTTCAACTGTCTTCCTGTTATTTTTTCACGCAGGATTATCATAATGGACCCAAAGGTTACCGTGTTAGGTAGTTACAATTTCTATTACACATCCTTAAACCTAAGCTAACCATGTCAAATTTGGTGAAAATCGGTTAAGATATAATTGAAGCTTCCCCCAAAGCCGTATTATGCGCTCCATAACAATAATATTTGGTACAAGCTGTGAGATCCAGACTCGAAACGCTTGAAAAATTTTGATGAAATTGATTCAAATTTGGATAGAGCCCCCATATATATCATCGTCCGATTTAAATTCTATAGATATTCCTTAATAGAGTAGATAATTATGTTCTTGGGGAAGAGCTTGACAAAATTACAATCATCTCTGCTAAAACTCTTAATTACAATACAAATTTCCTCCGTCCTAAAATTATTACTTCGTAATCCGGACCCTTGAATGGTAATCGGAGACCCTATATGGTAGAAATCACAATTTTCATTAGTTGGTAATATCTTTTCCGTTAAAAAATGTTTAACATAAAGCCATTATCCAATACAGCATAATTTCTTTATCCTCCATCCTATTATGTTGCATGAAGTAGAGAAAATGTTAAGACATATCGATTTATCTACAAATCCTAGATGAAAAAGAAATCAAATGACAAAAAAGAAGATAATTCGCGAAAATATCATCATTATCGACATCATCGTCATCCTTTGTGTGTCGAGCAAAAATATTTCATTGGAAAAAATCTACGCATTTCACATTTGAATAGAAAGAGAAGAAAAAAAAAACATCTCCCAAGTGTGTTTGTATGTCTCCTAGAATTTTAACATGATTCGTATATCAGGAAACCTAAGAATGACGTTAATAATGTTTGCAATGTCATTGTTTGGAGTTAGGGTATTGCGCCGCAATCTCTTATCTTCTGTCACATCAATCGAAGGATATTGTTTCCGATAAAATACACATTTCCTTTTCTCTGTCGTTCTATGCATTCATGTGGCAAGACTTCCAAAGAAAATTGTGTCTTGTTTAACATAGCTCCGCACTTTACATAAACATGTGTGGCATGCCTGGCGTGAGGAAGTGGATCCTTTTGAAGGTGGAAATCAAAATAGATATGATGAAAATCATGATGATGACAACGATGATTTCAAGTAGAAAACTTCATTTGACTAGTTTTCAGTTTTTAAGAGGATACCTGTCTTGATTATCCCATTTGCATATACTTTTTCGATCGGCAGCCCCCTCCCACCCATGATAATACCTTAACTATATTGTACATCTTTGACATCGTCACATTGTTTGTCTTGTCGAAATTTAAAATTTTCTATTTGAAAATTTGCATAGTTTTGTATAAATTTCAACTCTAGATTGGCTCTCATCATATACATACATACTTATGTATGTACACATGTCATACTTGAAGAAGTTCTCCTGACTTCTGGTTCGAAAAGGGGAGTTGTGATTGTGATTTGTCTATTTGCAGTGTATATATTAATTATAAAAATTTCTAATTAAATTTTCTTCTTTGTATTCAACTTACTTGTTTTGCGTGCCTGTGTGCGTGTGCATTCCGGAAAGTTGTATTATCCTTGTTGCTGTAATGATAATTTTGCAGAAATGAAAAGAAGAATAAATTAGTAATGCATATGGAATATATGAGTAGCTTAAGTTAAACTTATATAAAATAGATTGTTTAAGTAATATAGTTGCAAAAGTTCATTGTATGAGAACAAATGGACGAACAAGGGGGCTCTATTGAAAATTCATAAAGTTGTAAGAGAAATTATGACATGAAGTACTTTCGAGAGTTGAATAATAAGTACTTAAGACAATTTATGTTTGATTTGCAAAGCAAATGGTAAATTTAATAAGGTGGATTGGGTAGTAATGTGTACTAAGGCCTATTGCGTATGCAAACAAAGACTTCAAGCTTGAGAGAATTTCTGTCGATAATCAAATACCTTTTATTAAAATGGATAAAGAAAATTTCGAATTAAAAACAAACGGCTCTTAGGGATGTCCCTCGTTCGCAATTCACAAAAACAATAAAATCAATTAAAATTTTTATTAAAATCTTAAAAATACCGAATATAGCTGTCTATACGACGACATGGACATGCATAGGTAACTTTTGTCATAAGCCATTCTAATATTCAAATGCGAAACTTAAAAAAAGCGGTGAATAATGTGGCTAAAATCATTTATATACCGAATATATGGAGGTATCGTTATATGGGGGCTGTACGAAGACGTGGACCTGCGCAAACAATTTTCTGTCGTAGGCTGTAGCAGCCATTACGAACATCAAATACCAAATTTGAAACAATTCCGGTGTAAAATGTCGCTAAAATCATCAAAATACCGAATATGGGAAGTACCGTTATATGGGGGCTATACGAAGACGTGGACCAGTACAGACAATTTTCTGCCTTAGGGTGTAGCATCCACTACGAACATCAAATACCAAATTTAAAACAATTCCGGTGAATAATGTCGCTAAAATCATGAAAATACCAAATATCGAAAGGAACCGTTATATGGGGGCTACACGAAAACGTGGCCCGCATGGCCTCCATTTACGAACTTAACCTGCCTACCAGTAGGTAGTATGCTTGTATGCAAAATTTTAGCCTTCCATCTCAATTCGTTCGAAAAATTGCGAGGAGTATGTCGAGGAGTTACAAACGTAATGACAAAGCTAATATACCCTCCATAGAATGGTGGAGGGTATAATACAAAGGTAATCATTTCATGCTGGATGCGCTTGAAGAACTAATAACCATGCCTTGATCTCCATATTCAGAATCTTTAGGAGAGTTGTAGTCATTTCTAGAGAACTTGCCTACTAAGATCTTTTCCCGTGAAAAATTGTCTATATATGTTTACTATTTGATGTATCCTTCGATTATAGGAACCTGCCGAATTTAGGTATATTTTGCGATTAAGATGCATGTTCCAAACCAATTAGCTGTAGTTTAGATCCTAAGATTCTTAAAGATTGCAACCGCACCTTGTGAAAGGATTCGTAAAAGTGATAAACTATTTGAAATCAACCCCAAATTACGCTATTCCTGTAATTGGAACATTGAAAATTTTACTATCGATGACTGAACTGAATAAGAAATTATTTACAAAAAAAGTGCTTTTACAATATGTAATTTTAAAATCGTAGTGAGTAGAACACACCCTCAGAATATACATTGACTGTTCCAGGATTTGGAACTGAAACGATTGCATCTAATTTTTGGTACTGTCATTTCTAAGCCACTCATTCGACAGCTCTTAAAATTATTATAAGTGACAGCTCATTATATTGTGTTTACAAGCGTACAAAAGCATTTTGGTGAGAATTTTCCAGAAAAACAAAAATTATTCGCCATGGAATTCAAGCGTGATAGTGTGATTTCTGCATATTTCGCTAGAAAACAACAAGTGGCTATCGTTAGAGCACTCCAGCATTCAAATGTGAATAAATCTTTTGTGTCTCGTTCCGTCGCTCGTTATCATGATACTGGTAGCGTAGCCCGACGTCAAGGAAGTGGACCGAACAAAATAGCAACATCAGCAGAAATTTGTTGGAAAATTAAAGAAACGACTTGATCGAAACCCGCGTCGCAGTGGCCGAAAACTGGCTCGTGAGCTGAACATATCGCAATATTCCATTGGGCAAATATTAAAAAATGAGCTTGGGGTAAAACCACCGCAACAGAAAGAAAATAGACTCAAAAGAGCTAAAGAGTAGCATTGAAAGTAGTGAACTGCCGAATTTGGTTTTCTTCGATGAGAAAACATTCGTTGTCCAGCAGTTTGTAAGCAAACAAATGATCGTGTTTACTTGCCTAAGAGGTTAGCTGAAAATGTGCACCTTCGGTTGGACACAAGAAGTCAAGAGCAGGCCATTGTGATGGTGTGGGTCGCCATAACAGCCAATGGTCGCTCTCTGCTCGAATTAAAATGCTGAATATTATCGCGAAAATATTCTGGAGGGTGTATAAAAACCTTGGGCACGAAAACATTTTGGACGCACACCCTTGACATTCCAACAATGGAATGGGCCAAAATACCGCCGAGCAACATTCGGGCAGCGTGTGACGGTTTCATTGGCCGTTTGAAGGCCATAACTCGAGCCAAAGGTGATCAATTCGAATAAATCTAAACATATTCTAAAATTTGATGCTATTTTCAACATTTTTTGGCTTCATTCAAAAAATTAAAAAAAATATGGCGTTTGACTTTGTTACAGTTTTTTTTTATCTCACCCTGTATTATGAAGGTTATATTAAGTTCGTTATTCTGTTTGTAACGCATCAAAATAATATGTTATATATTCTTGTAAATATATTTTTGATCAGCGTAAAATTCTGGGACGATTTAGCCCCGTCCTTCCGTCCGAATTAATGTAAGAAGCTAAAACTCGTTTATCTGTTGAATTTCACACAAATTGTAGAGCTATTTCCTTTTTTTTCAAACTTTTTACCTTTAAAAATTCCTAGTAATATGAGATCCAATTTAAAATGGACAATATCTATCCACTCCTTCTGACACTTCTCCCATAAAGGGCACATGTTATTTTAATTAGTATGGAAAAATTACAATACGACGGCTTGATTTCTATTGCTTTAAGCCACGTAAGCCATAAGGACTTGGTAATATTGTAGGTTGATATGATTCCTTATCTAAACTAAAGACAAAATCGCATAATTCCTAGAAAAGATTTTTTATTTTAATTCTAGGCTGTTATTCTCTTTTTTTTTCGACTGCAACTTTCATCTACAAATATTTAGATCTCTTCATATCTCAAAATATTAATGATTCTTAATCCGCGATCAGAATATTGCACATAGAAAATGTCATTTAAGGCGTCAGTGTCAAATGGGGTCTACATCAGCTAGAACTTTCATTTCCAATGGAGACATACTTTAGTTCGGTTATTTCCTGTTTACATAGAGTATATAAGTATTTACTCTATGATCTGGTTCTGAATTTCATAGTTTTTATATAAAACACATTGAAGTTTATTTTACAAATTATGAAGAAAATCTAGTCAAACTTTAAGTTTTCGGACAGAACTACCACACTTGAGTAGACATTAAAATTTTACCCCTTCCCCCTCAATACTTGTCCTGTGCAGTTTTTAACAGATGTTGTGCACTTAATCACAGTGCGTCAGCGCTTATCGCATCGCAATAAGCCCCGGCGGCATCAAGTTTGTAAACATAAAATTTCCTTATAAAGTAGCAATTAGTTTTCATTGCAATTACCTTAAGACCCTTTTAATTTTATAGCTGATTTAACTATAAAACCATCACCTTAAGCTAGTAATTATTGCACGCAATGCCATTGCAATTTTACAATTACACACACACACACACAGGAACGCACACACACACACACTTTTGCCATAAAGAACATCTAGTAAATTATTTCCAATTCAAGAACAATTGTCGTTTCATTGTTGGGTAAAATGAATAAAAAACCAAGTTGCAGTGAATGAATCCGGCCAGTCGACAGAAAAACATACATTTAACAGAAACCACATTTGTAATTACGCCTGACGCCTCTGGTGTGGCGATAAAGTGTTCATTGCTTACACTCTCGTCTCTAATGCGATTAAACAACACTTCAGCGCTTTGACCACCACCTACACCGATATCAATATCAGAAGCAGCAGCGGCAGCGGCGGTGGCGGTGGCGGCAAGACCACTACCATTGCCACCTCCACCACTCTTCCCCCGGTGAACAGTAAAATCTATGCATTTATAATGTTTGCCATGCTCAGACTTTAAGACCAGGTAACCAGATCCATTTCTCATATTGACCGCCTAGCAGGAGGCAGGTCTAAGGCTAGAAAGCTTGAATGGTCAATTGCAATATGCAATGGTGTTGGCGGCTGAGTGAGTGTGTCCGTGTGTGTGTCCGTGTGTATGTTTAAACCAGTTGACCAAATGCGTTTTTGACCACTTCAATTTTAATGGATGGATTTACAGGCAGTTCTACCAAAATGTCGTAAATCAAAGTCATGAACAGTTCACACAGTTTGCTAGGTAGCTGGCTGGCTGGCCGAGCCACTTTATTGGCAACGCATAGAAGGTGTTCGACGGAAAGAGGATTGGCAGGCATTTCTTTGGGGTATATCCTTGGTTTGTGCTAGTTGTTTGGATGGCACTAACCAATGGCCATTTCTCAATTTTAAGGCTATGTGGTTAAGTACTCATGCAGTTGAAATGCACCATTAGATGTGTGTGTGTGAGCGCGTTTGTGTTTGTTGAATGTTTTAAAAGTTGTAGTGTTTTAATTAAGTATTTGAAAATTAGATGGACGATTGAATATGAATTGGTATATGCAAATTTTAGCAGAAAATATATTTTATGGGTCCACAAAAAAGAGCAAAGATTTACAAGGATCATCCGATTTCGAAAAAAATAGAGAAGTTTATATTTCCTCATATCTAAGAGCGCTAGAGGCCCGAAAACATGGATTTTTTTAAGGATTCTAACAGGGAAAGGATATTAGAAGGCTTAAAATGCCTAAGCTCAAAGATTGCGAGAAACTTGAATTTTTAAAAAGGTCCCGAATGCTACACTCGTTGATTTTC